AACCCGATTTTCCTAATTATCCTGTAAATGGGATGCATCCTCCGAGTCACAGAGGCTCTGTGCACTGCATACTAAGAGGCAGAGGACCATGTCTGCGGAGACGGAAGAGAGGTGCTTATTTCTGCATCCGTTTAGGTGCTTTCTTTGGAATAGATTAGTGTTTATGTTTGCTGAAGTCTGGCATTTTGGAAAGTCTTACTTAAGCCACATCAGAGAGGCAAGCCAGCCAGGAGGGAGAGCTCGAGGGTTGAGGGGGGGGGCGTGGGGAGGTAGGCCAACATTGTCTCTTTCTCTCTATAAAGAAAATGCAAATTAAACTATAGCCATCATAGAAATGTGTGTGTGTGTGTGTGTGTGTGTGTGTGTTTCTGGGTTCATTCATGGGTGGGACACATACATATGTGTATGTGGAAACCAGAGGTCAACCTTGGGTACCATTCCTCAGCACCTGTCCATCTTTTAAAACATCTTTAAGGTTTTCTTCTTTCTGTGTATGTCTATGTGCATATATAGGTATCTTCCCTTGGAGGCCAGAAGAGGACATCAGATATCCTAGAGTTGGGGTCACAGGAGGTCGTGAGCTTCCATGTGGTTGCTGGCAACCAGGCTTAGGTCTTCTGCAAGAGCAGCAGGTGATCGTAACCGCTGAGATGTCTCTGCAGCCCATCCATCCATCTTTTTTGTTTGTTTGAAACGGGATCTCCCACTGGGATCATGGCTTGCTGGTTAATTTAGATAGGCTGGCCAGTGAGCCCCAGGGGTTGGAGCATCTTTGCCTCCTAAGTGTTGGGATTATAAGCATTTACCTCTGCACACAACACTCGATACGAATGCTTGGATCTGAACTCAGGTCCTCGCGTTTGCGTAGCAAAGCCACTTCCTCGGCCTCTAAAGATGCCTTCAGTTGCTGCCAGTGACATTTATGGGATGAAAATCCATTTTGAACCATTGCAGGCGTCTCAAATCATCTTCCAAGCTGCACTGACTAGGAAACCACCTCATCTTGCAGCAAGTGCTGTGTACAACATAGGGTGAACGAGCAGCTCTCAGCCCAAGAGACTGCAAAAGGTGTCCATCATCAGGGAAGGGTGCTATGAACTTCACCACGAAGCAAGTATCACAGACATTGGATTTTGGTTTATGCAACTCAAATGCCTGGACCCCTTCTGTCCTGTATAGCCCATACCAGTTTCCCTGACAACAAACATCCTGTCTTTAGCTTCTCTTCTTGAAACATAGGAGCCCCTGTCAGGAGCTGGGAGTCTGCGACTCCTTCTTCATGATGTATGGTTTGTTAGAAAGCAGGAATAGGGCCAGAGAGATGGCTCAGCAGTTAAGAGTATACATAGCTTGTCTTAGATACTTTTCTATTGCTGTGACAAACCACTATGACCAAGGCAGCTTATAAAAGAAAATATATATCTGGGTGGTGGTGACGCATGCCTTTAATCCCAGCACCTGGGAGGCAGAAGCAGGCAGATCTCTGTGAGTTCGAGGCCAACCTGGTCTACTAAGTGAGTTCTAGGGCAGCCAGAGCTACACAGAGAGCCTTTCTTGAAACATCATTAGGGCTTATAGTTCAGAGGTTGAGGCCATGACCATCAGGGTCATGGGAGCACAGCAGCAGGCAAACAGGAGCTGGAGCAGTAGCTGAGAGTTTACATTTGATCAACAAGACACAGAAAGGAGTTAATTGGAAATGGTGTGGGGTTTTGAAATCTCAAAGCCAGATCCTGGTGACACACCTTCTCCAACAAGGACACACTTCCTCATCATTCCCAAATAGCTCTGCCAACTGGAGTCCAAACCTTCAAACGTATGAGTCTCTGGTGGCTGTTCTCATTTAAACCGAACCGACACACTGCTCTTGCAGAGGAGCCGAATTTGGGTCCCAGGACTCACACCAGCTATAACTCCAGCTCCAGGGAATCTGTGCTTTCTTCTGGCTTCTGGGCACCTGCGCTTGTGTGTGCAAACCCACACAGACATCACACATATACATAATTAAAAACAAAATAACTCGTTTTTTTTTTAAGGCAGGATTGGATTTGTCTCTATAGTATACAAATCAGAAATTTGAATACTATATAAAGAAATTTGAGACTTCTGTGTTCTTGCTGGTCACTGATGAAATAGTCACCTAGCCTTTCAAGTCAGTGACCCCTCTGTGCCCAAGGACGGCAGCTGATGCCTCAGTCTCCCACCTTGGCTGTCCTGCCTCCTACCAGGACCAAGACAGATCTCTTCCATTTTTTTTTTCGTGGTCCCCACTTCCCAGTTTCATCTCCCTTGCCCTCCCCTGGCCAGTGATCTTCCATCTGGGATGCGTGGGGCCTCGCAAAACAGTGTGCATGTCTTGTGTGTGCTCCTCTAGGGAAATAGATTCTAAGAAACCACGGAAGCCAGAGCCATGACAGTCTGTTTCCAGCTCTCAGTTCCCAAAGTCTCTGTCCTCCTCACAGGAGTATCAGTAACTGCATTTGTGATCTGTTAGCATTCTCCCCGCTTGAGAGGGAAATGCCTTCAAGAGCCCTCTGAACCTTCCTATCCCTAACCCTGGCACGCACTCAGCGAGGTTTGCCGGTCTCGGCAAGTCCTCTCCTCTCTGTCTGCCTTCCGTCTGCCACACCCTTACCACACACGTTAGTTGTTTTCCCTGTTGCAAATGCAACTTAAGGGTTTACTGTGGCTTGCGGCTTGCAGGTATAGTCCGTCAAGGTGGGGCGGGCATGGCGGCAGGCGTGTGCAGCAGCTCTTCAAACTGCAGCCAGGAAAAACAGGCAGGAAGCAGAGAGAGGTGAGTGCCGCTGCTCGGGTCTCTCTCCTTTGAATTAGTCAGGGGTCCCTAGAGCAGTGCTTCTCAACCCTCCTTACGCTGCGACACAGTTCCTGTGATACAGTTCCTCAGGTTGTGGGGACCCCAACCGTAAACTTATTTTCATTTGTTGCTTAATAACTTTAATTTTGCTACTATTATGTACCATAATGTAAATATCTGTGTTTTCTGATGGTCTTAGGCGGCCCCTGCAGAAGGGTCATTTGATCCCCAAAGGGGCCACTATCCACCATTGCTCTAGAGGAAGAAATGATAATATGTGTATGTGTGTGTATGTGTGTGTGTGTGTGTGTGTGTGTGAGAGAGAGAGAGAGAGAGAGAGAGAGAGAGAGAGAGAGAGATTTGTTAGAGTGGCTTATAGGCTGAGGTCCAGCTAGTCGAATGATGGCTGTCTACCAATGGAAAGTACAAGAATCTAGTACTTGCTCAGTGCGTGAGGCTGGATGTCTCATCTGGTTTTCAATATATGCCAGAATCCTGAAGAAGTGGGCTTCTAATGCGAGTGAAGGAATAGACTTGCCAGCAAGAACAGGGGAAGGAAGGAAAAGAGGGGAAAATGTTTCCTTTCCCCATGGCCCCTTATATAGGTGGCCAGCAGAAGAGGTGGCCCAGATTAAAGGTGAATCTTCCAACCTCAAAAGATCTAGATTTAGGGTGGTTCTTCCCACGTCAAATGTTGCAATTAAGAAAAATCTTCCCCAGCTGTGCCCAGCCACTTAGGTTCTAGCTAATTCCAGATGTGGATGACCGAGAACGACCCTCATACCTTTTTATTCAGTTTGAAGCCCCGCTCCTGGGATGGTGTTGCCCAGAGTAGGTAATCCCCTGGATATGTCCAGAGGTTCGTTTCCAAGGTGGTGCTGGAGTTGGTCAAGTTGACAATCAGATTGACCATCGCATGGATGCAGTGAGTTTGCATTTATGAGATTTTGCAGATCCTGGGATCTAGAGGCTCCCCCATGGCTAAGAGGGAAGCAGGCTCAGCACGGAGGAGCAGGTCAGGGAAGGCCAAAGGGCCTGTGGCATGAGGAGGGCGGGAAGGTGGCTCTGTAGAGACAGGAGCTACTAGGACTGTGCGTTTTTTTTCTCTTTTAGCGAAGGGAGGCGATTCTTTGTCTCTGGAAACCACTTCTTCCTAACAACCATCTTCCCCATTTCTTCCTAAATCCCGGCCCTCTGCTCTTTCTCCACCTACTGGAGTCCCCACTGTCCCCATTCCACCTTTGTCTTGTCTCTCCATAGGTAGTGGGCACCCGGGTCTCCATGACAAACTCCAAGGCAAGGCCAGCTTGGTCACCCCTTCCGCCAATGTAAATTGTTAATATTTCCTGCACTGAACTGAAATCGCTCGCCAGAGGGAGTGAGGCTCTGGAGCCTGCACAAAGGGAGAGGGAACCATCCCCAACCCACCCCCCACCCCAGGGAGCCACCCTCATCCCGACGCTATGATTAGGTGGGGCAGCTTCACTCCAGCCCAGGTCCTGATAGCTCCTATCTCGGCTGCACCGCGCACCCACCCTCCTCCTCCAACCACAGGCCATTGGTTCTCCCTCGGCCTGCGCCTGCCTCGGCTCTCACGCTGCTTCTGCCCTCAAAGTCCCTAGAAACCCTTTCACTTTCCTCCTAGTAAACTTCCCTGCCTGACTTCATTCCTGTTCATCATCTTCTGTTCCCAGGTCAACGACAGTCAATTTGGTGCAACTCAAAACCTGGCCATGTTGTTAACCTAACATCCTTCCCTGAGCCTTTGTTCTTCCTCCAGGTGCTCTTCCTGACCCTCGGCCCCCCGGGAGCTGGTAGGTGGCTCCCGTGGAAGTCTTTGGCTGAGCTTGCCTTGGGGGAAGGGTCACTGTGTGTTAGGGCACTGTCCCACAAGGGCACCCATTACACCCCAAGCATCGACCCAATAAGGGATGCCGGGATCCTGGCCGAGACTCAACAGCTGACTTTACACATTTGTGGGACTAATTGATTCTGGGCTTCCAACAAGCTGAGGCCGCACAAAAGGGGGTCGGTGGTGCCTGGCACCACGCGCAGGGTCCGGCTGCGTTGTGAGCGGGAGCTCAGGGGGAGCTCAGTTGTAGCAGCGGGACCTCGAGGTCAGTAGGCAGGGGCGGGGAAGCCGCGGCCGCGCCCTCCTGGCCACTCCCCGGCCGGCGGTGGGTGGCGCGCACTCCCATATGTCCTCCGCGCCACCACGATCGCCCACCCCGCGGGCCCCCAAGATGAAGAAGGACGAATCTTTCCTGGGCAAGTTGGGCGGCACACTGGCGAGGAAGAAGAAGACCAGGGAGGGTGAGTGCGCCCCCGTGTTCTCTTGGCGCCAGCCGGCTGCCAGCTCTGTCCCTCGGGTGTCCGCTCTCTACTCGCCCTGGCGGCGCCAATGCTAGGCTAGGCTGCACTGTCCGCAACCTCTGCGACAGGCCTGTCCCTGTCCCTGAGACCTTTGCAGAGCTGGCCCGGTGCCCAGGACGTTAGTCCTGCTCTGGACACAGACCCGAGCAGGCTATGGTTCCCGTGTCCACCCTTGTCCTGAGACATTCTCGTCGCAGTGATTGGACACATGCGTAATGAGAACGGGCTGCTGACTGCTTGATGCCTGCACGCGTGGCTTAGTCCCCAAACTGGGAGTCAGTGAAAGGGCACAAGATACACAGGCCAGGAGCCTAGGAAGCCTGGAACCAGGCTACGAGCTCCCCACCCCGCCCCCCAATCATACCCCTTGTGCAGAAAAGTAATTTGAGAACAATATCCTTTTACTTTTTAAACTTTTTTTTTCTTTTTACTTTTTAAACTTTTAAAAAACAGAATTTCAAGGAGCGTAACTTTTGCTCCCTGGCCGGTGCCTTAAGCGTCCCCCGCGGTTCCTAGCCCTCCCTTGCGAGACTTTTCGACCTCTATTGTTTTGGCCTGGAGGCTCTTGCCCTTGGGGCTGAGGTTCCTGGCGCTCACCAGGAATGGGAGGAGCTTGCTGAGAGAAAAGGCAGGTAGAACTTCCTGGGGATTAGCAGCCCAGGGTTCCTCTGTTAGGCTGCCTAGAGGGTCTCCTCCAGCTGCAGGAGGCAAGCTGCCTCCTAGATAGCCTTTCTGAGCCTTCAGGGATAAGACAGTCCCAGGAGGCTAACAATCACCCCCTGGGCCCAAAGGACAGGGTGATGTATTTACACTTAAAGGAGCCTTCAGGCTGTAAATTATGGGCAGGCTCACTCTGGCCTTTCAAGGCATCTTGAAAGGCAAGGCATGTAGGGAGATGTAGAGCTTGTCTGGAAGTGTGGTACTACTTACACTTTGACAGAACCCGCGAAGATCCTGTGGCTCCCACACACTGCCCAGACTTGCCTCTTCAGGTCTTCAACCCCATAGAGCCCTTTATCAAACTAGATTGTCTAGTTCCCTGAGGGCATGAAGTCCTGGTCTGTGTCTCCGCTCTCCTCTTCCCCTCCCCCTCCCCCGTTGCAGACCCTCCACGTTGACCTGCGTAGCATTCTTTTCTATCAGGTCTTCTAAATGAGATGTACGGTTGTCTCCCTGACCTGGCTGGTGTAGTATAATCATTGTGATCCTGCCTAGAAGTCTGTTCTCCTCATCTCACAAGCTAGGACCACAGTGGACCTTTGTTCATTCCATTGTCTGGTTTTGTTTGCTTGAGTTGTGGTTATGCTATGTCACCAAGTCTGGACTCAAAGTCCTGGATTTAGGTGATCCTCCTGCCTCAGCCTTCCCGTATCAGGAACTGCACGTATGTTGCCACCCGCTCGTGGTTTACCATCTCCGTGTATCTGATGTACTGTCCAGACCTTCAAAAGTAGAGGGAAGGCTCAATCCTTCAGGGCCCTGGGAATTGATGTCATAATGTGAAAGTCGATGGAAAGTCCCATGATCCTAAGCTGTAATTGTCAGAGGGCCCAGGAACGGGCGGGGTGATGTTGGGGATGAAACCTAATAAAAAAAAAATCTTTTATAGAAAAACCCGCATAAGGGTGTGAATGGTTACAGTTTCTGTGTGTTCTATGTGTGTGCACATACATGTACAGGCTGGAGGTCATGCTGGGTATCTTCTTCAATGTTCCTCATTATCTATCTATCATCTATAAGTCCATCCATTTCTCTATCTCTGTCTGTCTGTCTGTCTACCCTGGCTAGCCTAGAACTTGTTGTATAGACCAGGCTGGCTTGAAACAGACCAACCTGGTCTTGCCTTCTGAGTACTGGGATTCAAGGCATGTGCTACTATGCTTGGTTCCATCTTGTTTTTTGAGGCAAGGTCTCTCACTGAACCTGGAGCTCTTTGACTTGGACCAGCAAACCCCAAGGTCCTCTGTCTTTACCTCTTCTGACTTGAGATTACAGGTGAGCAGCACTTGGCTTTTGGCTTTTTAAAAACCATCAGTGCTGGTGATAGAAGTCCTATCCTCGTGCAAGCAAGCACTCTGCCACCTGAGCTGCCTCTTCCCTGCTGTTACAACTTTTCTGAGGTGGTAATTAACACTATTGGAACACGAGGGATGCACAAGTCAAATAATGAGCTGGCCTCAGTTTCCGATCCTACCTAGGTGCTTCTCAGCTTGCTTGTATGAGACATATATGTTCAGAAGACAGAGGACCAGTCTGGCCCAGTTTAAATGCACCCAGAACCCCAGCAGCACCTCCCTCTGCCTGCTGCTTCTGCTGGTGTTGCCATCCTGCCTTGGTTCTCAAGGTTGGAATACCTGTCCCCCCTATAACCAGAAAGCCACAAACCCCAACTAGTTTCTGAGGCAAGAATGGAGGGAAAGACCAGCCTTGGAAAGGCTGAATGGCTTCCATGTGGGGAGTGGAGAAGGAACGGAGGGGCCAATGTGAAGACTGTGTAATGAGGTCTTGAATAATTGAGCGTTGAGAGCTGCCAGTATTTCTGCAGACCTGTTGCCTTGGCAACTGGCCCTCCTGACTGCTCTTAGCCTCCACTTTGGGCCGTGGGAGCTTATGCATGGATGCCTGCTGGGGAATGACCAGGGGGAGGGCATGGGGGCTTTCCAGCCTGACAGCCAAACACTGTTTCTTCTCTTTCGTCAGAACATCCAGGGTGGACTCTGGACATTTCCTGAGGACCTCGGAAGTAGGGAGGGGATGGCTGGTGAAGTTCAAGGTTTGGGGACATATGGACATTTAACTCCACCCGGCCTAGCAGAGTAGCAAAGAGGGGACACATGTTCTGTCACGTTCTACGAGATAGGGGTAGGAGGTGGGGCATGCTAGGGTGCCCAGCACAGGAAATGTCTAAGAATGAGCAGGGCGTGATTCAGTCCAGTGGAGACACTATAGTTGCACGTGGTGGTCTGGTCACAAAAGGGAAGTGTGACTAACTGTGCACATTGGAAAACGGAAGGGAACGCCTACAACACTCAGGCTTCCCCATGGGGAACCTGAGTCTGTGCCCTGAGAGGTCAGGAGGCTGCTTACAACCTCTGGAGGTCAGGGTATGGAGGAGGGTAGGTACGGAAGAAAGATGTCCCACACAGGGTCCCTGTGACTGCAGGAGGGAAGGCCCAGAGGTCCAAGGATGGAGCCGGGACGGTAACTGCAGCTGTTTAGATCCAAGACATAGCTGTCCTCTAGTGATAAGGGACAACTTAAGGTTCAACTCCCCAAGAGGCCCTTCTGCTTCTGGGACAGTCTTCTAACGGCACACACCACTCCCCAGGGACCAGTGTTGGGGTTTCTCAGAGAGCCCGGGGCCACCAGACTATGAGTAGAGTAGACAAGAGGTTTCTTGTCCCCAGCTGCCTTAAAACACACATATGTAATGTTTAACACATTAATACTTTACAGTTAGACAATCTATCATCTATCAACTCTCTACTTTATCAGTTATCTATATCATCTGTCAATCTGTGTATCAGGCAACTATCTATCTGTCTGTCTGTCTGTTTGCATGCACTTTTGATTCCTAGAAGAATGGAGTAAAGCCTGGAGTGTACACCCCACCCCCCTCAATTCTTCCAGGCAGTGTGAAACTTCATCTCAGACCTAAACCAACTTAAGCGTCTGTCTTGAAGCCCATAGTTGACAGTGAGGTTGCTCTCATCCTGAGTGCTAGGACAGTGTGGAATCAGGGACAGTGTGGAATGAAGGATCCCTGCTGCCTGGTTACCTGACAGTGCTACTGTCCCAGACCCTTTCCTATCTGCACTGCTTGTCTGACCCTCCCTTCCCCAAGGCCCCTAAATTCTTGAATTTTTGTTTTCTCAACAACCTCCACGTTTTGTCTTTCCTAGAATCATGAGTGGAATTCAAGTGTGTGTGGCTTTTCATACTGGTTTCCTTCACTCACAACTAAGTTTCCTCCATGTGCTCGTTGGGCCACTGTGTGAGGCTCTCATGGTGCTGAGAATCCAACCCTCTGCCTTGGGTATGCTGGACAAGTGGGCGAGCATTCCACGCACCGAGCTGTGGCCCCAGCCACACACTTCTGAAATTACTCAGTGCTATGAAAGAAGAAAGGAAATGTGACCAAATTCTCCCACATCCCAGTGGGTCCAAGTAGAAAAAAGGGAGGGGAAGCCACTGTCCCCTGAGGCGCAGACCCTAGAGGGAGTGTTGCTCCTAGACCTGAAGCAGGTGACAGACAGCTGGCTGTATACTGGGGACCTCAGGAGCCAACCTGGCTCAGCCCCATCCTTAGGATAGCAAGGCCTGGTCAGGGAGGGGTGATTAGATGTGGAGATCTTGGGGATACACTGCTAGATTTGAGGGGTTGGGGTCCCAGCTGGAGCTAGTGGCCTAGTCTAATTTGCTTCTCTGTTACTGTGTCAAAACCCTGACCAAAAGCATCTTGAGGGAGGAAAGGGTTTATCTGGCCATATGTCCCAGTCACAGTGTGTCACTGACAGAAGCTGGGGCAGGAACTAAAGCAGGAGCCACAGAGGAGCTTTGCTTATTGGCTCACTTGCTGGCTCTTGGTCAGCGAGCTCACACAGAGCCCTAGCCCTCCCCTGTCCATCATCCATCCAGACCTTTCTCTCACAGACAGGGCCACGGGTCAATCTGATAGAGGTAGTTCTCCAATGAAGGTTCTCTCTCATCCAGGTTGTGTCAACTTGGCAATGAAACCTAACCAGGACATATCTTCCACTGAGAGCAAAATTAAACTCTAAATTAGTTAGAGGAAGGGGGACGTCCCCAGAGAAGACCCCTCAACCAGGCCCTTCTGGGGAAGTCGCAGGGGGCCGCCTTGTGACTGGGCTGTGGTCTGGCATGTGGGGCCATGGTCAGCCACAGAGGCCGGTTCTGGGGTTTAGCAAGAGTGACCAACC